GATAGAGATAGAGATAGAGATAGAGATAGAGATAGAGATAGAGATAGAGATAGAGTTTTGCATCCCTTTCCAGTTTTGGTGTCTTTCTTTTTCTCCTAGACTTCTTGGCTAGAATACTATTTTCAATAATGACTAGAAGTGGCAGGAATGTACATCCTTGTGTTGGCTGTGATCTTATGCATTCAGCTTTTCATCAAGAAGTATGACATTAGCTGTGGGATATTTCTACACGACCTTCATCTGACTGAGGACATCCCTTTCTCTTCCTAGTCCACTGAGTGTTTGGTTCATCAAAGTGTGTTGGCATTTCTTCATATGAGTTTCAGTTACTATCTAGTGCATTTAATTTAAGCCTGAAGGACCTCTTTAATATTTCTTGTAAGATAGATCTACAATGGTGAATTATCTGTTTTTCTTTCTGAGAATGTCTTTTATTATTTTTAGTACCAGGGATCAAACTCAGGCCTTGTGCTTGCCAGGCAAGTGCTTATGCTGCTGGGCTATATCCCTGGCCTCTGGTAATGTCATTTTACCTATTTCTTTTCTTTTTTTTTTTTGGCCCCAGGAATTGAACACACGACCTTGTGCTTGAGAGGCAGACGCTATGCCACTGAGCTGTATCTTGGCCCTACTTTTATTTTCAAAGAATAATTTACTTAGATTATAGATTTCTTCACTGACAGCTTTTCTTCCAACACTTCAAATATATCGTTTTACTTCATTCTGCCTCCATAGCTTCTGACAATTTAGCTGTCAGTATTGAGAGGTCCTTGGATGTCACTTGCTTTTCTGGTTTGGGTATTCTTTCACTGACTTTAGGTATTTTCTTTATAGTGTGTCTAGATGGAGAGTCATTTGGGTTTACCCCATTTAAAAGTCTTCAAGTTTCTAGAATATTATAAATTTATACCTTTTGTCATATTTGGGGTATTTTCTTTTTTGTATTTTAAGGAAGGGTCTATAGGGTGTTCAGGGTCTCACTACTAGATCGGACGCATAGTGATCTTCCTGTTTACAGCCTCCCAAGTGCTGGGATTACAGGCGTGCACCACTACGCCCAGTCTCAGTCACCATCTCAGTGTACCCCGGGGGCAGGGCCCGAACAGCAAGCCCAGGGATCAACCCTCAGCTGGAGCCTGCTTGCAGGTGCTTTAATCCGCTGAGCTATTTGGCTGGCTCTTGGGATATTTTCAATCACTACTTTTTAATTTTATTTTAAAGAGATGGAATCAACGAGGGTTGGTCTGAGTTGTTTTAAAAGGTGGGTTCTCACCAGAGGCAGGTCAGAGTTTGACCAGAAGGGTGTATCTCTCTTCCTGGCTCTTCCCTTGGCTGTTTCCTGGATACCACACTGTGAGCAGTAGGCCTTCCTCCCATGATATTTCTTCTTTGAAGCCTACCACCCACAAACTGAAACATGAGTCAAAATAAATCCCTCATGCCTTAAACTGTAGATGTCAGGTATTGTGTTCCAGCAAGGAG